ACATTTAAATTCTAAGAATATCGAGTGCAGTATAAAATTTTGAGGTTATACCCCACTTAGTAACTTTTTTCGTCCATGCAATTTTGTCTAATCGTAATTTTTTTACTTTCTTTCGATTTTTCGACATATTTCCATGGCAAATGTCTATCTATACATTTTAAACATTTCAAAAATATAGAATACAATTAAAAAATTTTGAGGTTAGTCCCAAGTCTCGACTTTTTTTTTCTATAAAATGTTTTTCAAATCAAAATTTTTATACCTCGTTTAGTAAAGTATGAATTCTGATCAATTCCCATACTTTAGTTTGCCAGAGTATGGGAAAAGTATGAGGCCAAGAGTTTAAAATTTGAGAAATTCAACGAAAAAAATTAAATTTTTGACAATAATTTATTATTCTCGCATCCCATACTTTTCTCATACTCTGGCCATTCTTTATTGTGCAAACTAAAGTATGGGAATTGATCAGAATTCATACTTTACCCATACTTTCATTTTTACACGGGAAGCATCTACTGATACATCTACTTTTGATTTTAATTTATATTTCAAAAATATTGAATGCAGTTTACAATTTTTGAGGTTAGCCACCACCTCGTGTCTTTTTTCGTCTTCAAAATTTTGTCGAATCGTAATTTTTCCACTTTCTTTCGCTTTTTCCAACCATTTTGATGGCAAGCCTCGAATGGTACATCTACATTTGATTTTAAATATTTATAATACCAAAAATATCGAATACAGTTTATTATTTTTGATGTTATACCCCACCTCGCGATTTTTTTCCTCTAGGAAATATTGTCTAATCGTAATTTTTCTACTTTCTTTCACTTTTTCGAACTATTTCGATGGCAAGTATCTAGTCCTAATTTGAAAATCATAGAATTTCATGGGCATTTGTTTCTACCAACAGATGTTTCATTAGATAATAAAGCTCGCAGTCTAGCAATTGCCTTAAAGAAGGTATTTTCATCTGATGTGAAAAAGGCAAGAGAGAGAGAGAGAGACGGGGAACTGTGGGATGGCGTAATAAATTCGGCAGGTGGCAAAGATGAAAGTAGATGCGGGAAGAAACCGTGCGCGCAGGTTGTTCGGTAGCCCGTGAAAAATTTGGGCAATAGAGTTTTATCCTGAAAGGGGATTTCTAAGTAGCCGCGCGAATTTAGTGGAAAGAACCAGAGAGAGAGAGAGAGAGAGAGAGAGAGAGAGAGAGAGAGAGAGAGAGAGAGAGAGAGTAAAAATAAAGTGAGCAAAGGTAGCCGAAAGTTTTCAAGCCGGCTTGAAATAGAAGATCTCTCTTTCATCCTGGCTAGAGGGAAAACACGCCCCCCACTCCTTTGCCGTTTTGGTCGAATGTCTTCGATCTTCGTTTCTGTACACAGGGCCCTAGCGGCCTTTACAGCGGTTCCACATGTATGCGAAGTCGTATAGTCGTTGCGAGCCCCGTATCCCCACTGCGCCATCTACTCAATACACTCCCCTTCTGACGTCACGGAGGGGAGTGCATTGAGTAGATGGCGCAGTGGGGATACGGGGCTCGCAACGTCTATACGACTTCGCATACATGTGGAACCGCTGTTATATATACCTACCTGACTTCAGAACCGGCCTCTTCATTCCCCTCCCTCTAACCTTCTCTTCCTCATCCTTCTTCTTCTTCTTCTTCTTCCTCCTCTACCCACAAGTGCGCATCTCAATCGTCTTTTGACGTTGATAGCTTCATTCGCAAGCAGGAAATGAAAAAAATCGATTTTGCCATGTAACGTTACGCGTATAGATCAGGAAGCTCTTTTGCTCTTTCTTGTATAATAAGGTCAAGGGTAGGGTCAGTTTTCTTTCTTTTTTTTTTTATATCTTCATCATCAGAGGTCCAATGATTTTAGCTACTGGTATATAGCAATCAATATCAGTGATGAATAAACAATAATTTGTAATGATCGAAAGTAAGGAATTTTTAGAATTGTGAATCTTTTATACCATTATGACAAAATTTTCGTAGAAATAAGAGCGGGTTCTCTCTTTCACTCTTGGAGAGGAAATGAGAGACACTTAAAGTGAACGATCAGACATGTTTTAGAGGAGGATAGAAAGAGAGAGAGAGAGGTCTCCTTTCCCGTAAGTAGTCGTGGGTCTTATGGGGTTTCTCAAGGTGGGTAGTATCTACATATTACAACCTCGTGAGTGGGACCACCTTCGTTGACATAAGATCCTGTTATGCTGTCTGCTATATCTGAACGCAGTCAGACTTTCGCCATAAAATATATCAAAAAAGGACGAATCAAAATGTGAACTTTGCGCGCGATAATCAACATATATATATATATACATAAAAATTCCTTTAGATCCATCAGGGAAAAAATGAAATTCATGTACATCAACATTGTATATATGCCTTTGACCCTTATATGGAATGCTGACTTATTAATAAAGAATGGAACTCATTTTCTGTATGTGGAAAAAGCAATAAACTTTCTTTTTTTTTCTACATATCATGTTTGTATAGAAAATAAGGATGGAGATTGTCCGCTTAATTAAATTTCATCCACTAAATGTTTGTGGGAGTTTCATATGAAGGAAGAAAGACATCATCATTGTGAACATTTTTTTTTTCTCCAAGGAAGATAAACTTTCAAGTCTTCATCCCTGTCCAGTTGTTCCACAATGTCATAATCATTCCTGTATACTGGATTACTCAGCATAATTGAGACTTCAGAACGACTACAAAAATTCAATGCTAAATGAAGATTCTTTTCCTCGTGAGCCATCAATTATTATTTCGATGGAAATAAGCTTCTATGACATCTACTTTTTGATTTTTAAAACATTTATATTTCAAAAATACCGAATGTTTACAATTTTAAAGTTTAGACCATCACCTCGTAAATTTTTTTGTCCGTTAAATTTTGTCTAATCGTAATTTTTCTTTTTTCTTTACGAAGTATTTCCATGGCAAGCATCGAAGGGGACATTTACTTTTTATTTTGAACATTTAAATTCTGATAATATCGAATTTAGTATAAAATTTTTGAGGTTAAATCCCACTTCGTAACTTTTTCGTTCACATAATTTTTTACTAATCGTAATTTTTCTACTTTCTTTTCTATTTTCAACTGTTTTGATAGCATGCGTCGAACGGTACATCTGTTTTTAATTTTAAACATTTATATTTCAAAAATATTGAATGCAGTTTACAATTTTTGAGGTTAGGCACCACCTCGTGAATTTTTTTATCTGTAAAATTTTGTCTGATTATAATTTTTCCACTTTCTTTCACTTTTGCCAACTATTTTGATAGCAAGCGTCGAGGGTTGCATTTTTGTATGATTTTGACATTTATATTCTTAAAAAAACCCGAATGCAGTTTAAAACTTTTGAGGTTAAACCCCACCTCGTGACTTTTTGTCCATATAATTTTGTCAAATGATAATTTTTCTACTTTCTTTCACTTTTTCGAACTATTTTGATGGCAAGCGTTGAACGGTACATCTACGTTTAAACATTTATATTTCAAAAATACCGCGAATACAGATTAAAATTTTTTAGGTTAGACCCCCCACCTTGTGCATTTTTTTGTCCATGAATTATTCCAGTAGCAAGCGTATCCACACTTGTTTCAGAATGCTATAATAATTCCTCTATACCAAAATAATAATTATTGATGTTTCAAAACGAATATAAACATTCAAAGCTAAATAAAAATCCTTTTCCCTGTAACTTTGAGACCCATCAAAAAATGTTTCTTTTTTGCTTCCCGTGATGAAAATCACAATTCTGCGAATGGAGGAATAAAATTTTTGAGATGTAATGATGGAGGGGGTAAACGTTGTTTGTACTTTGACAGTTGAGTAACCAAGGAATCCGATCAAGCAAATCGATTATGATGATCGATTAGGCAAGGAGGACAACTTTTTTTTTGGCCTTTTTTTCTCTTTTTTTTGACTTTTTATGGTGCTAAAGTTCCGGCAACATATCAGCTGAAAAAATTGGCAAAAAGGTTGAAGGGAAGAGGTGATACGAGCTTTGTATATGCCATGTGGTGAACGGGATATACTATGGGCCTCAACTCCTGCGGTATAGGGTTACCCGAGCCCACTCCTTCTCGAAACTCTCGTACGTCCGCAGAGTTAATTGGCTGGAAAACCGTCGCTATCCGATACTTGGCTACCGCCCCGCGATACGTGAGCGTATAATCCAGATTTTCATTTGTACTTTTTCACTTTTCTCAACTGATTTTTCCCTTTTTCTAAAAGCATCTCTTTTTCTTCTTCTTCTTTCTTCAGTGGAAGAATCTTGACAATCTTTCATCGCAACTCTTTCACTTGGGTGTTGTCTCTCCTGATTCTCTCTCTTTCTTTCCCTCTAGACGAGAGATAGGTATTGTTGCGGGTGGTCTTACGAGCACATTGTCAGAGTGACCACCAGGTAGTGTGCAACATTGCCCCACTCTCCACCCTCGCATTTCTTTCCTTGATCCTTTCTCTCCTTCTCTCTCTTTCTCCATTTTTTCTTTCTTTATCTTTCATCATATTCGCTCAGACTGAAACCTCGATATCGCGTGTGTTTAACAGGGCTCTATATGACTGTTCATGAACCCCATAAAACAACCTCTAATAAAATAATAATGGAAGATGCCAGTGGGAGATTAAGAGATTGCGCTCGATAGTTATGATGTACTCAACTGATCCTATATAAGCTCTCCAAGTGAATTGTTTCTGCAAACTAATATACTCTTCCCTCATTATCCAAGGTGCAGTTTGACCTGGTCATTAAAAAACAGACCACTAAAAATGGTCCTTGTTAAATGTACTCCAAATTCATAATCTTTGAGGTTTTTTTTTTTTAATCTTTGAAATACCTTTTCTTTCTAAGTAATAGACGAACTAAATATAAATTCACAATTGAAAATAGCAAATTGATACCAAAATACGTTTGTTGAGTGATTCTACTAGAATTATAATTTGTCGAGTTAAATGAAATTGATAAATTTTTTAAATGTTTTTCAGGGCAAAGCGGAAGGTGAAAAATCGAAAATATGGTTCCGGGCCTACTTTCAAAAGGAGCTGAGTCAGCTGGGTAGGTTTGAGCATAAGCATGCGGGCAAGGTCATTTTCGTCGCGATTGTGGCGCTGACAGTTTTCTTTGTGGGCATTAAATCCAGCCAGATTCATCACAAGGTCGAACAACTATGGATACCACGTAAGTGTTCGAGAATAGCTTTTTAATCTTGTCATCATGTTATAAACAATATTTTTTCTCTTTTGTTTGTTTTTTTTTTTTTTATAAAATCCTTTTTACCTTCTCATATAATTTTCTATAGCATTACAATTTTATTATGGCACTATACTAATGGTACATATTGCATTTGAACACCTTGTATAAAACTAAATTTATCCGTAAAGGCGCACTTTCTACTTGTTCTTCTTCTTTGTTGAATTCTCCAGAGGCTTCGAGACGTTTCTTCTTCTACTTCATTCTCTCTCTCTGTCTTGAAAAACATCTTGAAGTCCGGAGAAGCTTCTTTTGGTGAATAAACCGGTATATGATTATAACTAGGACATGTGTCTCGCGATTGAAATACATATACTAATTATATTCCTTGACATGATAGTTGACAATCATGTTTGTATAAAGAGAGATTATAATTTGTTCCAAAAACTATACGAGTCGAGGTGTATTTTGGCCTTTGATCTCATTTTGAAAGCATGTGGGTATAGTCTCTATTTATAACTTCTTCCTTAAATCTTATAATCCGAATATTTCTAAAGTAATAAGTATCTTAAATATCCACAAAGAAAAGAGAACCAGTAGAATATTGGATACCATCTACTTTTTTTGAGAAAATTGAGTATCATACTTTTTGGTATTTTTAACCTTTAAATAATGTTATTTATAGGTAATTACAATATTTAGAACATACATCTAAAACATTTGTAATACTGTAAGAAAATACTTGAAAACTACTTTTAGCTTTCCGTATATGAATTTTAGACGCCTTTAGGACATTTTTCAATAAATTTGGATGTCTTTTTGAAAGTCATTTACATGTTTTTTTTGGGGGATTTTATAGATGACTTTCGGAGTTCTTTTAGACGACTTTATGATGACTTTTAGATTTGTTTTGGACATCTTTTACAGATTATTTATAAGTCTTTTTGGATGTCTTTTAGACGACTATTACACAACTTTTAGATGAATTTGGGAGTTGTTTTATGCGTCTTTCAGATTACTTTTAGAGATTTTTTAGACGACTTTTGCAGCTTTTTTTAAAAGTCTTTTAGATAACTTTTGGAGATTTTTATAAACGTCTTTTAAATGTCTTTTAAGATGCCTTTTAAACGACTTTTAGATGACTTTTGTAGATCTTTTAGACGCCGTTTTGATGAATTTTGTAATTCTCTTAGACGTGGTTTATATATCTTTTTGGGTGTCTTTTTGGATGCATTTTATACGACTTTTAGATGACTTTTGGAGATCTTTTAGACGCCGTCTTGATGAATTTTGTAATTCTTTTAGACGTAGTTTATATGTCTTTTTGGATGCATTTTATACGACTTTTAGATGACTTTTAGAGTTTTTTTTAAACGTCTTTTAGATATCTTTTTAGATGCCTTTTAAACGACTTTTAGATGACTTTTGGAGATCTTTTACACGACTTTTAGAGGACTTTTGGAGTTCTTTTAGACGTCTTTTAGATGTCTTTTTTTGAAGCCATTTAAAGGATTTTTACACTCTAAATCTGAATCAGTGAAAATTTCACTGATCTCAATTCAGTGGACTAATCTTCTTTAATATATCAGTAAAATCCGCACTGATTGTCAATGAAATTCCACTGATTCAGATTTAGAGTGTAGATGACTTTTGGAGATCGTTTAGATGCCTTTAGATGACTTTTGGTTTTCTTTTAGACTCTTTTAGATGTCTTTTGAAGTTCTTTTAGACGACTTTTAGATGATTTTTGGAGATCTGTTAGACTACCATTTAGACGACTTTTGGAGTTCTTTTAGACGTCTTTTAGATGTCTTTTTGGATGCATTTTAGACGACTTTTAGACATCCTTTGGAGATCTTTTAGACGACATTTGGAGTTCTTTTAGGCGACTTTTAGAAGAATTTTAGGGATCTTTTATACATTTTTTTGTATGACATTTACACGTCTCATTCTCGAGGGTCCACTGAGTAAACTTCCCCTAATCATCTAAAAGCACCGATTCAACACATTTTCCAAAACGAATCCCAATTAGAATGATATATTTACAAGAAGCAAAAAACAAGAATCACATTCATATTTGAATAATGATAATTAAGAAAGAGATTAACATAGTCTCCTCTCTTTCTCTCTACACAAAAATATTCTTAGCATCGACAACTACCGATCGTTAGCCATCAGCGCAAACGAGATGATTAGTACGTAGACGATTAGTAATTGGGGATCGCGTCTTTGACCTATGGCGAGAGGTTGGTTAAGGAAACTGTGTCTGGACCTAATGGCGCCTGTCAGTCAACGAAACCGAAGGTACGAAGCTGTGCGTGCCTTCAAGATGTATTCCTGGTATAGTAGCCGAAGGAAAACACATTAAGAGAAAAAGAAAAAACAACGAAACGGAAAGCAAAGAGTGGGAGGACCAAGTAAAGGGAGAAGAGAGAGCGACACGACAAAAAGAGGATCATCACCCCCTTCCACTCTCTCTCTCTCTCTCTCTCTCTGCCCTCACTCTTTTATCCCCCCAGTACATTAGTTGCACGTTGGGTGGCCCTCTATATTTATCTGCGGCTCGATGTTAATTCAAAAGCTCGTTGCAACGTACGACCTATACGTAAACGTTTGCTATGTTACATTCACTTCGAGAAATACATATATACGTTCAGGAATTTGACCGTTAATATTTTGTTGGAATTTCTCCCTTTTTTCATATCTTGACAGAAAACTGCGCATCCTATCGGCGGGTTTTCCCTCCCTTATATCCTTTTATAGAAAATTAATAGATCGTAGCAGTTTGCGTATTACTTTTTGTATCTTTTAATGATTATAAAACAGATTTCACAGATAACTAATTGCCAGCGCACTGTTAATTTCTTAATATAAAATAGTAGTTATTTGTAAATTAAAATTATCCCCTAGATTCATAATTTTATAAATTTGGTTTTTTTTTTTGCGAATATTGTATAGAATATTTAGTTATCAAAGGATGAATGGGGTCTTTGTGAAGTAGCCGCGGCTATATCTGTGAACGTGAGAGACGATACTAATCGAAGTTGTGCGTGCCTAGATCGGCACCGGATATCCGTGAAGTGACTGCGCGCGAGGATGCGGGCTCCCTGTTCTCTCGGCAAAATTATTACACTGACTGTGTATGTATGTATGTATAATAAAGTTTTCGTGATCTCGAGATCGTCTCAAGACGGGTGCGGCTACCTCCATATATATACACTCATCTTCTTTATTTACTGACATTTCCGCCTGCACCATATTCATCCCTACTATCTTATACAGCCGGAGATTAACTTTCAGCTTATTGTAAAATCTTTTTTATTATACAATACATATTCGTACATTAATCAAGTTAATTAGAACTTATTGTCCTTTTATTTATTACAAAAAGAAAAAATATCCCTTAAATGTAGCGAAAAATTATCTTAACACCGAAAAAACGTAATTCTAAATAATATCTTCTTGGTGCCTGTAAAAAAATATTTCCCAATGCGAGATGCTTGATTTTTCCCCATATTTGATTATAAAAAGTCGACATTCGTAATGATCGAAATTTTAATAAGTCGACATACTAAATGATCAAAACTGCAGATGGTCCAAAAAGTCGATAATTTAAATGATCGAAAATTCAAATGGTAGCAACTTCAACTGGTGGGAATTTTATTTGGTGGAAATTTTAAAAGATCAAAATTTAAAATTGTCGACTATTTAGAATTTCGGCGTTTTAAAATTTCAATCATTAGAAATTTCTACCATTTGAATTCTCGGATTTGAAGTTTCTAGCGATTAAAATTTCGAACATTTATTTTAGCTTCGAGCATTTTAAATGTCGATCATTTAGTATATCGACCATTAGTTAAAATTTTCGTTTTAAAGAATTTTATTAGATAAAATTATTTTTTAGATGAATTTTTATTTTTCGAATTAAAATTTGACAGAATTTTTTTTTAAACAAATTTTTTACTTAACAGAATTCTTATGTATCGAATTTTTATTTGTACGAAATTGCAAATGGCAATTGTTTGTTCGGCCATTTGTAATTTCGGACCAAAAAAAATTCGGTGCCTAAAAATTCTGTTAATTAAAAATTGATTAAAAAAGAAATTCTCAAAAATGTTAATTCAAAAAATGAAAATTCGTCTAAAAAATAATTATATCTAATAAAATTGTTGAAAATTCTAACTAATGATTTTTATGGTATAATCATGCGTTCAATGAATTTTAATCATTTGGGAGTGTCGACTTTTTAGAATTTAGGGAAAAATCATACACCTTCCCAATGCATTGTATTCTTAAAGTTGTAATAAAATGCATGGTAAATATTCTTAAATGGGCTCTAAGAAAATATTCTTAAATTTAGAATTACGTTTTTACGGTGTATAAAATCGCATATTGTTTAAGTTAAAAACCATTTTTTAGCTTTGAGGTTATGTTAGGGCCTTCATCCTCTTTAAAATTAATAGATCATTCTCGTGTTTTTTTTACATATAAATTTTAAAATTTGACATTTTATATCGAAAGTATAAATTCTATAAGAAGCGAATTGTAATTTTAAAAAAAATATATATATATATATTATTTGTGTTCTTGTTTTTCCGCGTGAATCGTCTTTTTCGCGCAGAAGGGAGTGAGATAGCTCAATTTACAAAACACCGCTCACCAGATGTGAATGACACGCGGCGATATCTTTCTCCTTCCTGGACATCCGCATACAAGCCAAGGCCCGGCTTCTTGGAGTAATAAGAGAGAGAAAAAGAGAGAGAGAGAGCGAGAGAGACAACTAGTGGAGAGGGGGAAGAGTAAGAGTAGCCTCCGATCCCCTTTAGCTACACACAAGAATCGTCGGTCGACAATGTACAGGCCATTCCAAGAACAGAGGACCAACCTTTCCAGCAGGCGCAGCACGCGCTCTTTAGGCATTTCGATTATAAATGGAATTTCGTGAGTCCCAGCGATCCTCATTCTTGAAAAAATGAAAAAACTAAAAA